TTTAAGATTTGTATTTGTAATCAACTGAGTAATTAAAAGTTAGACTAATTCACACCCTTTATGTATGCAGCATCCCCTACCTATTCCCAAGGTTGATAGTTTACTTTAAAGATGCAATATGAATACAAAGTCACTACTTTTTTCTTTATTTTATATTCAATTCAAGTTCAACCTTACTGGCCTATCAAATCAAGCTTTGGGTGCCATTATCTTTGGATGTAAGAACTTCCATCGACAACACCATGGGTGCCCCAAGTTTAACTGATAACACAGAAAAAAACAGTTTACAGCCTCACAAAAAAGTTTAGTCAAATTCAAAATCTTCACAGCMATCCTTAATCAGTGGGAATTGCAAATTGACCAGTGCTGAACATAGTTGGACTAGTTTGTCTGCATGAMACCTCAAAAAGGCTGGGATAAAGGCCAGAATGCGGAAGCTTTTTAACCTTGCATTTACACGCTCCACGTGGATACAACACCGGGCAATGGATTTAGTTGCTCTTGCCTCACTCTCAGTGAACTTGCCATTTTTAAGGAAGGGGGGAATGTTCACTGATACTCCTCGTGGAACAATATCACTAATCAGAAATCCCTTGTCAGCCAGAATCAGKTCACCGACACACAAATGTTTACAGAGTCCAGACTTTTGAACCATAACCTTGTCACTTACTGAGCCTGGAAATAGATCACTAACATAGGTTATCACCCCATTTGGGGCAACCCCAATTATGACCTTAAAGGAGTTGTATCCTCTGTATGTGGAATATGTTGCACTTTGTTGTGACATCAATTTAGGTGCAGCTATCTCAATGTCTGTACAGTCAATCACAATCTTGCAACTGGTGTACTCAGCAAAAGGGGAAGGGGAGCACATCTTGTTCTTTTCCTTTGATGGTACACTTGTCATGATATCTTTGAACAAGAGGGAGTGCAGCACGTGGACAAATGTCAATACTATATTAGCAACAGTTGCAACGCTGCATGAAAACAACTGTGCTAAATGCAGATTAGTGTAATTTTGTTTCAGTTTCATTAGAGTAATAAATATCTGATCCTCAATTGTTATTGCCTCAACTTTCCATCCAGCATAATAATTTATTGCACCCTTGAATCTTGAAACATATCCTACAATAATGTTGAAAACCTCCTTTGTTGGAAGACCTGTCTCCATCCTCACAACCTCTGGGCTCAAGTTCTTTACAGAGTAATGTGCACTAAAGTAGCTTGACATTTCCTTATGTTTTTTGAGTTCTCTTGAAGTCATATCAAGCTCTATTTCCAACAAAGTTTCATTGAAGCTTACACTCCTTCCCTCGTTCAGGCAATCAGGGGATTCTGGTTCAGTGTTTTCTTTTATTTCTTCAACTACAGATGCTACCGTTGGTAATGTTGGAGATGCAGACATTTTTAGTTTTTTCTTCGGTGGAGGTGTAGGCTTGGGCTGACTGCCTGGTAGCAAGTCTAAGTTGTTAAAAAGTTTATGCTTGTTTCTGTTGTTTATAGTTGGCATATTTTGTTTTCGGCCGTCTTTGAAATGACAACTGCAGATTCTTGAATGCTTACTAGGCTCCCTGTCTCCTCTCCTATAAATAACAAAGACAAAAACAGAAGTCAAAGTTTGTGAGTTATTGTGCGGTACTGGATCCGGTCAAAACCAAAACTGGAACACTATGCTCGGGTATATAAAGCAAAGCCAATGTTTACATGTGAAATTCTATTATATCTGGACAACCAAACTGTAGAATCTGTTTAAAGAATTTTCAATATTTTAACGTTTGCCAACCTCAACTTATTTTGAATAAGACACGGTCGGAGCATACAAGAGCGACATATCTCTGTTTAGTTTTGCGTTTGTTTCGGTGTAAGGCTAATCRAAATCTCTTGTCAAAACATAATAATCTTAGCAATAAACTCACCTAACAAATGATATCCATTTATCGAAGAGAGCTTTGTGCTTTTTCTTGTCTGGAAATGTAAAGAATCTGCAGCAGTGGCTCTGAGATGTGTGGTTGCAGTCTGGGTGAAAACACTGGCCCATCACGAACTTTGTAGAATTCGCTTCTTTCAGACAAAACAACGCTTTACAAGGCACTTTTGTTCGCTTATAAAGCTCTTKATTAATAAAGTCAAAGGTTATCTTGATTCTCTTTGTCTTATTTCTATTATTTGAGGATTAGATGCGCCAATATAGCTCTTGAAATCCTCGAGGGCAACAACAATTTGTCACGCAAAGGACGCCATATTGGTTTGTTTAGACCGCAAATTTCCGGAGTCATGGCAACGTGATGTAAGCACTTTAGGACTCTATTGGAAACAGCTTCGGGAGAAACCATCAACGTGCTAAAACCGCAACGTAAACGTACAATAGACTGTTTCGACACGTGGCTTCAGGCCTGGAATATGTACGAACAGAAAATAATGGCAACACATCCCCATCGCTATTTTGAATTAACCCGCTACCGGGAAAGCATCCAGATGGCCAACAGAAAGTTTCGCTGGGCGAACATTTATATGTTTGATATACAATCACGTCAGCAAGCCGCTACGCACAAACAAGCCGGACTTGACATTCTCAACACCACCATATACACCAYGGTGCTCCATGCCTCTGCATTAAAGCCTAACCCTCGACAATGTTCACGATGCAAGTCTTTTGACCATTTGGTCAGAGACTGTGCATTTCTCGCGGCCGAAACGTTGAAGGAGGATAAAAGCCCGCAGAAAACAATCACGAAAGGAAAGCAAACCGGAAACCACACAAACAACGCTACTACACAATGGAAATTTAACAAATGGTTCTCGTCAACTGGGAAAGAAGGATGCAACCTCTACCAACGAAAACTCTGCACCCAAGGCACGACTTGCAAAAGGGCCCACCTATGCAAGGCTTGTAGGGGGGAACACCCTCAGGCCGATTGCCCAAGCATGTCCGGCTAATGTCACGTCACCGTTTCCAATCGATACCTGGCGTGATTGTTTGAAAGATCACCCAGATCGCAACTTTGTAAATGTACTCTTGGACGAAATTCAACACGGCGTCTGTGTCGGATTTCAGAACAAATGTAAGCAAACAATTAACGACAATCATCAATCAGCGAAATGTAATTCTACTCCAGTTGCCCTTGAACTCGAACGCGAACTTAATCTAAATAGGAAGGCCAGGCCATTCTTAAAGCCTCCTTTTCCTAACTTTGTCGGATCGCCGATGGGTGCCGTACCAAGAAGCACTCGAAACCACAGAAGTGGAGAATAATAAACGATTTATCTTGGCCCGTCGGTCAATCTATCAACGATGGCATTTCGAAAGAACAATTCACATGCTCTTACGACTCACTTGATAACGCAATCTCTCAGCTTAAATTACTAGGCCAAAACGCCCTAATGAGCAAACTTGACCTCTCCGATGCCTTTCGGCATATTCTCGTGAATGAAAATGACTGGGAACTGTTAGGCTTCACATGGCCAATCGTCACTAACGGAGAAACGCGCGTCGGCTATTTCTTCAACATGTTTTTACCATTTGGTTTACGCAGTTCACCGTCGCTATTCCTAAAATTTGTAAACATATTAAAATACGTCATGATGAAACGTGGAGTTAATCCCATCTGGAACTACCTAGACGATTTTTGGACATGCGGACCCGAATCACAAAACAATTGTGCACAAAACTTAAACATTATGCTACAAACATGTAGTGACTTAAGGGTTCAAAGTGAACCCAGAAAAAACAGTCGAGCCAACTACAAATCTCACTCTCCTAGGAATACAATTAGACACACAAAAACAGGAAGCTTCTATCGAATCAACACGCTTATCAGACTTGACTTTGTTAACAATGTGGAACACTAAAAAACACTGTAAGAAACGTCAACTACAATCTCTTATCGGCAAGCTTCATTTTATCTGCAAAGTATGTCGTTCTGGGCGAACCTTTCTTCATTGAATGATCGATCTGTTGTCCACGGCATCAAATCCCAACCATTACATTCGTCTGACAGATGTATTCCAAAAGGATATCCATTGGTGGCTAACATTTCTTCCTACTTGGAATGGGTGCAATTTCTTTTTTAATGACCAGTGSACACTTTCTTCTACCCTCGAACTTTACAGCGATGCCTGTAAACACTCGTTTGGCGCTTATGTTTCTGGCGATTGGCTTCTGGGCTCCTTTACTGATAACGCAATTCCAATAAGCCGTTCTATTACATTCAAAGAATTGTACGCAATAACTGCAGCCATGAACACATGGGCTCAACACTTGGCTGGTTACAATATCCTATTCCACTGCAATAATATGTCCGTTGTTAACATTCTGTCTACTGGAACTAGCAAATGCAAACATATTATGTCACTGGTTCGCTATTTATTCTACGTTTGCGCGCAACATAACATCATCCTACGAGCCGCTCACATCCCAGGCATCCAAAACAACTGGGCTGACGCTCTTTCTCGTTTACAGGTCGACACGTTTCTGAGCAGTTGTCCACATGCGTCCCCTCAACCAACGCCAGTGATACCCGTAGACTTAAGCAACTTCAAGTAGACGCCCAAGAATACTTTCACTACGGCCTCGCTGAGGCCTCCCATCGCACATACAGTTCTGGACAGAAACAATTTCTTCAATTTTGCAACGAACTACATTTGGAACCACTTCCGGCCACAGAAGAAACTTTGATTTCATTTACCACTCATTTAGCTAAAAGGATCAAACCACAATCAATTTACGTCTACTTAGCAGCAATACGCTCATTACATGTCGCAAATGGCTATGCTAATCCTCTTCAGCCAGAGCAGCAGTAAGGGGGACTCGCGATCGATGCCAAAGATTTAGGGGTTTAACCCGCGGAATTACGAAGATGGGTACAGCAGATTTACGGGTATTTTACCAAGACCTAAAGTTATTTTGGTATCGCAAACGGAGGTAAAAATATTCCTTAGATATACATGGCCACCATCGACGACATTCGAAACAAGACTGTGCGCAAGCTCGGAAATCAGGTGATGGATAACTCAGACGCTGACTTTGTCTTCGCTACGTTTATGGAGGGAAAGACAGACGAAACCATGAATTAC